TATGAAGAAAAGAAGAGGCTTAATGCCGAAGAGGCCCCCACTTAATTGTGGCTGAAGAGGGCAACTACAGGCTACTGAGTTATTTTCAAAGGTTCAACAACATGTTCGAACCTTTTGAGAATAACTCTTTAGTCATATTTTATATTTTATTCTATTATTATATTGCTCGTCAATAATTGTTTTTATAGTTATTCGAAGTATAGTTGATTAATATATTTTTCTTCTTGTTACAGGTGATCATCGTTGGATTTATCATCGACACGTTTTCATTATTTTCTACTTGAGTTCCTGCAATGACAATTTTTGTTTTTTTTTTTTTTAAATTATATGTATAATGGCATTTCTGAAGGCACACATAAAAACAATATATGATTTGAAATATTTGTGAAAATGTATCGTAGATTTTGCATATTTTGTTTTTAACAAGATAAATTTTATATAAATAGACTAATACATTATTACAGCTAAAGGAATAAGTATATTTAAGAAATTATTTATTTATTATTATATTATATTATTTATAAGAAATATGTGATATTTTTATCCGCATTTTTTTTTTTTTTTTGGTTTTGTTTCAAACGATCATTAGAAATATCCTGCAAATATTTATTATATTAAAAAAACAACTTAAGATTATGGGGCGATTATGGGGGGGGGGAAAGAAACTAAACTATGTCAAATGATTTTTGGATTTATTTTGACTTCTTATTTTTTTTTTTTTTTTTTTTTTAAGAATTAAATATTAAATCCCATAAAGTGTTGTTTTTCTGTAAATCATTAATAATATCTGTAGCCGAAGTGTTCAATAGTTCGGTTAATTCTTCTTGATATATATCTACTAATTGTGGTGCAACATTCGACAGGATAATACTTATGATGTTTGAAATATGTTTGTTGTTAAATAATCCAGTTACTTTGATCTAAAAAAAAAAAACAAATGATTTGAACGTGTTCATTAATATCACAACGGATTAGACAATGATTTTACATGAAAAAAAAAAAAAAATATATATATATATATATATATTTACGTCTAATTCTTCGAGTTTGATCGCTGATTGTAAATTTCGTACGTATAAATATCCATTTTTAATCCAAAGTCCCATGATCACTTCTACGTCTAAACCTTTCACAATTGCACTTGCATATTGAAAAAGATAACAAAAAAAAACAAAAAACATATTTAATGATATTATTTGTTATATTATATTAAAAAAATATTACACATTTGAATTTTGTTGTCTTTGTTTTATTTCATAACATAAAGTTGATATTTGATAGATTTGTTGTTGTTGTTGTACTCACTCGATTTCACCTAATCCATAAATTGGTAAAAAATGTTCATAAATTCCCGTCAAATTATAATCTGTAATCAACTCGATCGAATCCCATATATAATGTACATTAACTTTTATTCTAAATAAATGAAATTCTGCTTGTATGATCTTGTAAGTGGACAATTTGTTTATTTGCAAATTTTGTAGATATCCTTGAGCCCTTTTTTCCATAGAATACAAATCATTGTTTCATTCGTTTTTGATTATCAATATGGACACTTCATTTTATTTGATATATCGCATGATAATATCAATCGTAAGATTTCAATTAAAAATATATTATTATAAATAATATACTCACTCAATGTTAAACTTTTCTCGAATGTTGTATTCAAATTGATCGAGTTTAAAGGGATCCATAATTGGAATTTCAAGTGTTTCATTCCCATTTCTCATAACTTCTCGAAATTTATCAACTACGATTGCGGTGTATATGTCAAAGTAAGATTCTTAAAAAAAAAAAATGAATAAAAACAATGATCAAAAAATTCAAAAAAAAAAATCTATAAAAATGTATAGTTTTTTTTTTTTTTTTCTAATATTTGCAGTAACTTACTGCCTGTATCACCTCCGTACATCAAACCATAATAGCATGGTATCATAATAGTTATCAATAGTAAAAATACAATTTTCATATAAGGCAAAATGAACAATTTCCTTGTCATTCCTCAATACGTTTGCTATTTTTTTTATTTGATTTTTTTATATTATTAATATTCAACGTTTTAGATGACATTCAATGAATATGTTTTTTTTAATTACATTATTTATTTTCCCTTTTTAAATGGATATATTCTGTCAACAAACAATTCTGTTAATTTATATGAATGTCCTTTTTGTATTTTTTTTTTTTTTTATCTACTTATAACAAAAAGTATGAAAATAATTACAAACTTACTTGAAAAATCATTCTAATAACGTGTCAACTTTCACTCTCTTTCGACTTCATGAGAATTAATAATAATATTGTTTTCTTATAATTAACACTTTCGAACTTTTTAGTCTCTTCGTGTGTTTCCAGTTCAAACGGTTAACACTGAATATTGAAATTCATTGGTTCAAAAAAAAAATAAAAAAAAAAAAAAAAATGAGATAACAAATGCATGTGATAACGTTCAAAACTTAAGTATAATTGGTGCTTAATCATTAATTTAACTTTCGTAATAGACGTTTTTTGTTATCATTGACGAGTCATTGATAGGTAATGACAATAATTGTCTACATTTTTGTTTTTAAATGTTTCCCAAATATTCGAACAAATTTAAAGGATTGTCGTCTGGTTTTATTCCGTTCTTATCTTTTAATATATGAATTTATAAAAAAAGTTATTTAATTAAAGTATATGATATTGAAATTTAATTATTCGATTTGATCTCAATATATATATGTATATATATATTATTAATTAACATATGATTTCGTTATTGAATTGATTATCACGATCGTCTATCAACTGTAATGTCATCTTTTTTTTTTTGTTATTTGACGAGAATTCAATATGCAACATTTATTTATTTAATATTTTATCTTCTTAATATATATAAATTACGTGTCACGTTGTTTGTCCGCAATAGACTCTTAAACTACTGAATCAATTTTAATCAAATTTTACACACTTTGTGCAGTTTCATCCAACTTGAAAGATAAGATAATTTATATCTCAATTTATAATCGAATTATTTGTTTATTAATAAAAAGTCGGACTGTGATTGTGAGCCACAGCAACGCGTGGCTGGACACCCCTAGTTTTATATATTTATAATGTTTTATATTGTTTGAATTTGATAAAACACAAACGGTAATATTTTAATTAAATCAAAAAAAGAAAAAAATTAATATATTAGAATAGTTAAAAAAGATTTATTGATCAGACAATAGTAGTAAGAGACTAACTATGTCAGACTATTAAAATGTCAGACTATTAAACAGACTATTGATTATCAAACCAAATTGATATAAAACAAAAGATATTTAAATTGCTTGTAACATTATCAATGTGACAATTTATCTCGGGTTTAATTGTAATAGTTATTGACTGACTATGGTAGTAGACTATTAAATAGGTTGATTATCAAACCAAATTAATGTAACAAACGAGACGAGAATCAGTTGCCGTATAATCAATGTGACAACGAAATCAATTTCACGATTAGAAGACAATACCTGTTTGATAATTGTCGCGTCATTTGTAAAACTTTAATTAAGTTGAAATTTTCTTCTTTTTTTTTTTTTTTTTAAAGACACATTGCTACAAAGTATATATATATCATTAAATTAATATTTCTATGTGTAATAAATTATTTAAAAAAAATATTTTCCATGTAATCACCACAATATGTTCGTCGCGTGTGTTTCATGTTAAAATTCAAGATAAACAATAATAATAATAATAATAATAAGAAGAAGAAAAATAAGTATTTACATGATGTGTCAATGACTCGTTAAAAAAAAAAAACAGAAACATAATTCAAGAACAACAAAAAATATAATAGTATAAATAATAAGAGAGAGAGAGAGAGAGAGAAAGAAAAAAAATGTAATTGAAGTGGTCGTACACGATTGCGAGAAAAGAAGAAGAAGAAAAAAAGAAAGAATTTGAAGAAGGTAGATGAGATAAAAAGAAGGGATGAACAAGAAGCAGAAAGAGAATGAGAGAATGAGAGAGAGAGAGAAAGAGAAAATGTGATGCGGCTTGATAAAGGGAGAAGAACAAGAGAACGAATGAGAGAGAGAGAAAGAAAGAAAGAAAGATATAGGTGTATACCTATATATATATATATATACAGGTAAAGAGGAGTAGGAGAGAGAAAGGGGTAGAAAGGAAAGGGTGAAGTGAGTCTAGTGGGGGTAGAAGAAGGGTTGGAGAGGGGTTTGGAGAGGGGGTTGGTTGGGTGGCAGAGCAGTTCACTCTTACTAGCCGTGACTCGACTCGTCAGTGCGGCCTGAACGGTTAACCGGCCTACTTCTCTCGCGGTTTGCTTGTTTTAAGTCTTCTCTAATACATACACACACACACATACTCTTSTTCTTCTCTCTCTCTCTTTTATCGTTATCACCTCCCGCGATTGCGTCGGCCGTTATCATTTCGCCGTCCAGATTTTAACACGTTGGTGCCATTATTCTGACAAAAAAGAAAAGAAAAAAAACCAAAACCAAAAACCAAAAACAAAAACAATAACAAAACAAATAACAAATAACAACATTAGAATATTTATATAATATTATTCATCAAATCTTTCTATCTCATCTTTTCTCTCATTTCCTTCTTTCTCTTTGGTATTCACGCATACATCGAGAGTACGACATTTAACACGATTTTTAGAAATAATTAAAAAAAAAAAAAAACAAGTAAACGATAAACAAAGTATCAAAGAGTGAAAGAGGGAGAGAGAGAGAGAGAGAGAGAGAGAGAGAGAAAGAGAGAAATTATTTTCTAAAGGTGTGATTTGATTATAAATTAACTTTTTTTCTTTTTTTTTTTGTCACAGTTATTTGTTTAAATAATCTTTCCCTCTTTCTCTTTTTATCTCTGATTATTTTCGTCGTCGTAGTTATTGTTATTGTTGTTGTTGTTGTTGTTGTTACCGGTCTCTGGGTCTAATCGAGGATCATTATTCTCGCATGTGTGTTTGGGAATGAAAGGGGTTGGGGGAAAAAAAAAAATACGTGCGAAAAATTATTGCAAGACATTTTCTTCTTCTTCTTCTTCTTTTATTTATTTCTTATCGTAAATTTGGTCTATTATTTAGTCTTTCTTTAATCCCTCGTTCAATTTATCTTGTTATTATCTTCTCACTTCCTTCTATTAGTTTAGTAACTAACCTTCTGTTAGTTTAGTTGAATCTTGTTTTTTTTTTTTCTCTCAATCGCGTTTTTTTCCCCGTCATTACCGTAATAACCATCATCAGGTGTTACCACAACTGGTTCTCTTCTTCCCTCGTACGAGTGGACGATTCGTCTGAAAGAAAAAGGGACAAAAAAGAACAAAAATTAAGGAAGGAAGGAAGGAAGGAAGGAAATAAATAAATAAACTATTACGAATAATCTTAAGGACCGTAAAGAACACTATTTGCACTTTGTCGAGGCATGCCGAGAATCCGAACGAGGAGTAAGAATCGCGCGTAAAAACTCGACACCAATTGGAAAGAGTAAAAACGCTGCTACTGCTGCTGCTCTTAGAGCTAAGGTAAATATAATGCATTGCCCTTTTTATTTGTCTCCTCCTCTACCCTTCATCTCTCGACTGTATACGTGTGTCTGTGTGTGTGTGTGTTTGCGTGTTACTTGCAATATTATAATCAAACTAACGACGTGAATTTATTTATTTTTTTTCTCAAGAAAAAATCGTACGTATTGTTCGTTAAAAAATATTTCAATTTTGTTTGATAGTGTGTTCCTGTGTGTGTAAATCTCTCTCTTTCTCTCTCTTTCTCGCACCGACGGTAGACACATTTTTGTACATGGAAACGAGATGAAATCCTCAAATTTGTCTTCATACATTTCTTCTGTTTCGTTCAATCTTCCACCATTTTGATTGTATGAACAAATTTCGCGTAGTTTTTAATATTCATTTATTGTTCTTTTTTTTATTATTTACCAAAGAAAGATGACTGTATGATTGAGATAGAAATTTCTTGAATTTATTATAAGGGTTGTTTTATTTATTTATTTATTTTTTTTATATCAAATAAAGTGAGATAAAGAGATAAAGAGAGAGAGAGAGTGTCGATATTCGTGAGATTATTTTACGTTCTATGACCAATATCGTATCTTTCAGAAAGGGGTAGTTTTTCAATATTTTCATTCGCAAACTTTAACCCGCACGAAATGAGACTCGTGATCGCAATAATCTCATGTGCAATAGTAATGCAATAGTAATGGTGGTGATGGTGGTGGTGGTGGGACAATTTCTGCTATTGCTATTGCCAGTAACTACCCCTTTTTCGTATGTAACAAAAGCCACTCAAGAAATAGAAAGAGAAAGAGAAAGAGAAAGAAAGAAAGAAAGCAAGAAAGCTATCGATCGATTATCGATTATCACATCTGAACGGATTTTCTCTTCTTTTCGATCACCCCTTAGACTTGTTTTTCTGCTTTGTGTTATTTTCAAATAAGAAACGAATATCAATTAAAAACTAATTTCTAATCATACGAATTATTCGTCATCCTTCTTTTTTTTTACTTCAAATGTTTATAAAAAGTATCTTATCTTATTTATTAAATTACAATAGATCTAGATAAATAATAAAAGGAAATAATAGCTAATGATCATCTCTCTCTCTCTCTCTCTTTCCTTATCTTATATATATTTTAATGAATAATATTACTTTAAATGTAATTGAATTTTAATTGAGAAATTTCGATAATATCAATCGAGAGTATGAGTATGATCATATTTAGTTGATGAAACTTTCTCTCTCTCTCTTTCTCTTTCTCTTTCTCTAACTTTTCACACGAATAATATACATATATACATATATACATATGTTCATCTTTCTCTTTCTATTTGCCTCAATGCCGATACTTCGATTATTTCGCGTGAATTAACGGCCACATTGACAAAGCTGACGGATAGAGACGACGTTAAGCTGTACGATCGGTTATGGTGAAGCCTCGTGTGTTTAAGGTTTACTACCTTGAATCGAGTGTGAGAGAAAGGGAGAGTGAGAGAGAGAGACAGAGAGAGAGAGAGAGATAAAGCAAGTGATAAATTTCGACTAGGCTTAAGCTCAATGCATCAGAATAATCGAGCTGCCTTACACCTCTCGAGGTCGACCGTTCGATAAAGCTCGAACCTATATGAAACAACGATAATCCTTCCATTTACAGTAACAATATTATTACATTAATAATAATCATATATAGTATTTTAATTTGGATAAAAGTACGACGATAATTCGGTGTTGACGTGTTGGTATTTATCATTAACGTGTTAATGCATTTGGAAATCTTATAAATCTAATGCAATGTATAAAATACATGACTGTATAATTTTTCTTTTTAAAATATATATATTATTGTTCTTCGGTTCAAAAAAACGAGAAAAGAACAAATATCGAATCGTGTACTTCGATTTATCGGGGGTGGGTGGGGGGTTAGGGGAAATGGAGTAAGAAAAAACCAAAGTTAGTTCGTTTTAGTTAAAAAGTATTTCTTCATACCTTATCATCATAATACTTCTTTTATACCATTGATATATTTAAAAGTTTCGTTTTTAGGTAATCTATTTGAAATAGTTCGCATTTGAGATCCTATTAAGTCTTTGGTAGTAGAAAATCGGGGCTTTTCTAGGTAGTCTTTAAAAGGGAAGAAGGACGATAGGAGGATACGACCGACTATCGGAGGATCGTCGTCGTCATCGTCGTCGTCGTCGTCGATCCTTTGTCAAAGCTTTTGCTAGTAAAGCTTCTTTCTCTCTTGGTTTTCTCAGTGAACTAAAGGGAAATAGAGAAAGAGAGAAAGAGAGAAAGAGAGAAAGAGAGAGAGAGAGAAGCAGCTTTTTAATATTGCACACGTTTCTGAGAACTTTAAGGGTGGCACAATGCACGGCTAAGATGACGAAAGAGAGTAAACGACTAGGGAAGCTAACTCTCTCTCTCTCTCTCTCTCTTTCTTTCTCTTTATCTTTTTCTCTCTCTTTTTCTTATAAAAGAGTCGTCTCGTGGTAAATCGTGCTAGTGTCGAATAAGAGACCGTGAATAAGAACCGAGTAGTAAAAGAGTACTAGTAAAGAAAAGAGATAGAGAAATAGAGCCGATATTGCAAAGTAAAATAAAACAAAAAAAAATTGTTGGATTTTTATCATATCTCTAACATCAGCCATTGGCTTTTATTCTCTTATCCCCCCCACTCCCTCCCTCCCATCCCCCCTTCCCCTTGCTTTTTCTATCCCTTTCTTTTTATCCTTTTTTTCTTTTTTTTTTTTTTTTTTTTTTCTATCCCTTTCTTTTTATCCTTTTTTTCTTTTTTTTTTTTTTTTTTGTCAATAACGTTTGTAGAAAAAATTCACTCGAATTTCAATCACCTAAATTTCAAATCTCTCATAATATAATAGCGAACGTGTTATTTTTTTTTTTTCTCTATTTAGATTACATTCGAGATCGATAAATATTATTTGAAATGGATAAAGTTGTCATTTTTTTATATATATAAATAAAATAAAAATTAATAAAAATATAATAAAATTGATCACACATTTGAGATATGTCAAAATGAAACCAAAAAAAAATATCTTGAAATTATTTGTAGCAAAATGAAATGAAATGATTGATGCGACGATGCCCAAAATTTTCGGATTTTTTTTTTTTTTTTCATAACGAAAGAAAATGAGAAAGAAAAAAGGGAGAGAGAGAGAGAGAGAGAGATGAAGCCAAAGGGATGTTTTTTTCTTGAGAATGGATGTAACATTTTGTTAGTAGGTTTAGTAGGGGGTGGAGGTGGGGGTGGGGCGTAGGGGGGTAAGTTGAGAAAAAAAAAGAGAGAGAAAGCAAGAGAAAGATAAAGTTAGCGAAGAGAGCAGACAATAAAGCGACAGCGTAAAGCAAACGTTGGATACACACAGGTGGTGGCCTTTGCTTTCGTTTGAACTCACAATCAGAAGCAGCTAAAAATAGGACCCGTGACCCAACTACGCTCGATTCCACAATTATGAATTTCCCCCTGTCCCCGACTATTTCTCACTCGGTGGACGAATCAATGCAGCATTAATCGTGTGTGTCTACCTACGTGAGAGTGAGAAAGAGAAAGAGAAAGAGAAAATGAACGACACATATCGGTTGAACTTACTACATACATCTTTTGCAAAAAAACAAACAAAAAAAAATGGGACAATTGAAAAAGTTGAGGAAAGTTTATTGAAAACGTAAGAAAATTGAATATAAATGCCGTTGTTTCTTCGTTCAAAAGTGTCAATCTTTGTTCTTAGTTTTTATTTCCCCCCCCCCCCAAAAGATTTAAATAATCGATGCATTTTTTTGTCACCTTCGTTACGATTAAAAATATATCTTTCAAAAGCGACATTAGAAAAAAAAAACAAAATAACAACAACAACAACAACATGTGTGCAGATCACACGTGTTTCAAGTGAAACCATCGAAAAAAAACTAAGTTTCGAGAGAATAAAACGAATACTAAATATCTGCTTTAGGATAATTGTATTTTCTTCTTATTTAGTATCTTGGCCGTGTTTCATCGGTTCCCACCGCTCCGTTACATAGCCGCCTACCGCTCCGTTACATCGCCGCCTAATCGTTGCGTTACATTTTTTCAAATTACATCCATTCTAAGAAAGTTTTTCACTTAAAAAAAAAAACAAATAAATAAATAGAGAGAAATAATAGAAAATTGAATTGATTTTGTTTGTAGTTTAAGTTGGTACCACGATTATTATTATCGTGTGTTTGTATGATTTAAAAAAAGAAATAAAAGAGAGAGAGAGAGAGAGAGAGAGAGAGAAATTTACGTGCTCGATTAATCGGTACTTCGAAACAATATACATACGTTGTTCGTAAAAACACGTATATATATATATATATATATATATATATATATATATATGCACAATATACATATTCACATGCATTGGGTGTGTGTAAGTGCACGTGGTAGTTGTAACTTTCGTGTTACTCCACGCTCGTCGAGTCACATCGAGCCTTAACTACTAATTATTACGTAGCTCGACGCTAACGAACCTTCGCACCAATTAGCCAGCACATTTTTACCGTACTACACCTACCTACCTACCTACCTACCTACCTATCTACCTACCTACCTACCTACCTACCTACCTACCTACCTACCACCCCGAGTTGAGTAGAGAGAAACGCTTCTCTCGGTACTTTAAATCTCGTCTTTCTCATTGAAAGTTACAACGATTATGAAAATTTCTTTTGAATTTTCTAAAACTCCATTCGTTAACGTNCCCCCTCCCCCTCCCCTCCCTCTTCCCCCTACCACCAACATTTATATTTTAAATTGTTTTTTTTTCTTTATTATTTTTATACACGCTTGACAAGTGTTCTTTGATTAAACACGAGAGAAGAGGAGAATGGAATTAATTAAAAATGTTAGAATTTTTTTTTTTTTTTTTAAAGAAAAATCTCATCTTGAAATGTTTCAACGTTATTATTATTATTATTATTATTGAAAAAAATTATACAATTATTATTCAATGGTAAATGATGAATT